AAGGAAGGAAGGAAGGAAGGAAGGAAGGAAGGAAGGAAGGAAGGAAGGAAGGAAGGAAGGTGGAGGAAGGAGGAAGGAAGGATTTTAATTTATTTTTTATGCTAACATTTATATAGAACTCTATGAATGGTCACTCTCCGAGGCAAATAAATTTGTATCTTCTCTTATTCAACCAACATTTTATATTGACAAAATGGATGTCAAATATAGCCTTGATAGGTTGCATTGTAGGCCCATTCTCTTATGTACCCAACCATGGTTGTGTTTTGACTCAACCAGCTTCAGTTTCTTTTAGGTGTGTGGACTGTTCCTTCCCTCTTTAGTGGATCAACCTATTTTTGCCAAATGTTGGCAGTAGATAGTCTCCAATTAAGCTTTTCCCTATGGAAATCTATGTCTATCTTTTCTTTGTCAAGCAAAATTTTAAGGGTACCAATATTATTTGCTCGCTATGGTGAAAAGCATATTAGACAATGAGTTAGAGACCTGGGACTTACATTTTTTTTAAGGGAGTGGTGTATGCTTTCTTGACAACTGTGAACAATAGAGGGTTTCATATTATAAGTGGGATGCATGTCTAAGACTTCCAGGCTGCTGCTCTCCCGGTCTCTTCCTTGAGAAAATTAACACAATGATTTTGGTACTCTTTCTTGCTAAGTCTCAAAATCTTTCTCAAAATAGAGTTCCAGGATGAAGCAGGCTCCAGGCTCTGAGCTATCAGCACAGAGCCCGACACAAGACTTGAACTCATGAACCATGAAATCATGATCTGAGCCCAACCTGGCCACTTAACTGACTGAGTCACCCAGGCGTCCCTTGTGTGGCTTTTATTGCAAATTCTGATGATTCCTGTTTTTATTTTATAGGGAATTTTCAGTTATTCTTGCTTATATGTGTAGTAGGATGGATAATACCAAATGATAAATAATCTAAAAATAACACATTTGCATGTATATTAAAAACAACTGTTTCTAATACTTGATTAGTTTGTGTTGTTACTAACAGAGGTTAATAGGAAGTAACATAGTTGGTTTGAGGAAATCACAGAGTATATACTAAAACAAATCTATATGCTAAATAATGATTTATATATGATTTCAAAGCTTTATTTCTAAATAATGAAGATTAAAAGAGACAATTTTCATATTTGACAAATGTAATACTTAAACTGAATTTTTTATCTCAACTTCTGTTATATGTAACTTTATAACTTTTGTGATAGATGAATCAATAGTGGCCTTATTTCCTACAATAATGAAACAAACTTCTGACTAATGTTTATGCCTAAATCCATTGGAAGCGTAACTGTAAATTCATATAGCTTTTATAAATGTTGAATTCACAAATGTGAGTAGGTTCTATCATTTTTACTGAAACTTCAATCTCAATCTGTTATGGTCTAAGAAACATTCATCCCTGATGCTATCTTTCAGATTTATTTGAAATCATATTACCTGTCTTATGCTTGAAAATAATGTCCCTGCTAATTATTAATTTATTTTGTATGTGCTGGTTGGCTTAAAATTAATCATAATTAAATGTATTTGGTGTTTATGTACATGTCATTAGTATAGTACTTCTAAACTTACACTTTGTCAGCCTTCATTAACTGCCCAATTAATTACATAGAGGTACTTATCATCTATGTTTCAAACACTCTGTAAAACAGATTATAATAATGTGTAAGTATTGAGAATATTATACCTAGAATGTCTAAAATCGAGAATAATACCTGGACCAATTATAATTACTGGCCTTCTCAAATGGAATTTATTTTGCCTCGATTCCTCCTGAATTTACTTTTGATTTTATTTCTAATCTCTTGCTCTTAAAGACTAACATATAAGATCTCTCAGATCTCTTAACTCTTAGTAAGACTTATTAAATGAGTTACAAGTTATTAAGGGGTTCCTGGCTGGCTCAGTCAGTAGAGCATCTGACCCTTATTCTCAGGGTTGTTAGTTCAAGCCCCACATTGGGCATAGAGCCTTACTTTAAAAATAAATATATAAAAATTAAAATTTAAATAAAAAATTTAAAAAGCTAAAAAAAAAAAAAGAAAAGAAAAGAAAAACAAAAGAAAAAATTGGGCACCTGGCTGGCTTGATTGGTAGAACACATGATTCTTGGTCTCAGGATCATGAGTTCGTGCTCCACATTGGATGTAGAGATTACTTAAAAACAAGAAGGAGTTAAGAGTTATTAACTTTTTTTGCTTTATATGGTGTGTCTTTATATGTGCTTATAATTTATATTTGATCCAGTTTTAAATATTTTTTGAAGTAAGCATATATGTATACACAATGTAGTTAAAATGAAATTAAAACAACAGAGATCATAAATCATATAGTAGAGATTAGAAATTGTACAGCTAGAAACCAGAATGAAATTTAGTGAATGAAATAATTGCTGAAACTTAGTATTTGATTTGACCAGGAGTTTTCTGACTGTCAAGGAAAAGAACAAAAACATTTTCACTTTTCCAGTGTAATGAGAGACAAAGTGCTATCAAAGCTTTAGATACCAGAATAGCTCTTTTCTGTGGCCAGAAATTCCATATGTAGGCCTTTCATATTCTTTTTCACTCATTCACCAATTTACATATTATCAGCTTTTGAAAACCTTGTATTATTTACTCAGTGAGGAATTATCTTTTCCCTGAATTATACATTGATAATTATAAAAGTATAGCTGTCACTAATTTGAGTGTTATTATGTGAAAGGCAAATAGCAGGCATTGAATTTTCTCCAATCCTAGCAATAATCCTGCAAGATTCATGCTATTTTGCCCCCTTTACAGATGACAAAACTGAGACTAGGAAAAGCTAAATAATTTGTACAAGGTCAAATAGCTAATAAGGGCAGTTTGTTAGCTGAATCCCAATAGCAATTTTTAATTTGAGGATTTCTTCATGGACATGTTCACTAAAAAAAAAAAAAAAATCCATAGTTGTGTAATAAGTCCATAAATTTTATTCACAGTTATTCCCAAAGGGAAGTTATATGAAACCCAGAGGCATTTAAATATTACTGTGATTTCTTACAGCCTGTGAACTTATGAATCAAGGCATCTTGGCCCTGGTCAGCTCCATTGGCTGCACATCGGCAGGTTCCCTCCAGTCTCTGGCAGATGCCATGCATATCCCCCACCTCTTCATACAGCGCTCAACAGCTGGGACCCCGAGGAGTGGCTGTGGACTCACCCGGAGCAACAGGAATGATGACTACACTCTGTCTGTTCGCCCACCTGTCTACTTAAATGACGTTATCCTGAGAGTGGTAACAGAATATGCCTGGCAGAAATTCATCATATTCTATGATAGTGAATACGGTAAGTGATTGGGAGTTGCGTGAGTTTTGTATGCTGGTATTTGCATGGCAAGCAACTTAATTAAATCTTGAAAAACTTCAAGGAACTTATCCATTGTTATCTGTTTTTTTGTTGTTGTTGTTGTTGTTGTTGTTGTTGTTGTTGTTGTTCTGTCATAATCTTAAAAAATCTAGCAGGAAGAACAAAAAGTTTTCTTAAGGCTTTCAGTTCAGTCGTTTATATTAAATCACTTTGAAGTCAAATTAAAAAATACCTCTTCCTAATGCTCAGTTTATAAATGTTTCTAAATGTTTCTAAAGGCAGTCTAACTCTAATATATCTTGATTTTTTCAAATAATGAGAAGTCATAAAGACAATAATGTCTTTCTCCCCTTACAAAAAACATTTATATCTTTATGTAATAATAAAACACCATTTTGGACAGATCCTGGAACATTGAAAATAAATGCCTGTTTGTATTTCTTGGTTCCAAAAAATCCAAAATCTGACACATCTTGCTTACATGCTTACACTCTTTGGAGTCACTGAGACTATATTGCTTTATAGTTCTCATGGCATATTGTCTACAATATGAAATTCCACAAAATGCCCAGTGGTATAAAGACAATTTATATAACCTCCCAAGATGAAACAAAGCATTTGCACTAAATTTCCTGCAATTCAAGGAGAAGATACTTTGTCTCAGTATTTTTACTTGTGTTACATTAAGAAAAGTAAGTAAAAGTGATAGCTATATTTTTTTCCTGAATGAATGTTTTCTAACTGACTGAACCCAAGGGTGTTCAAATGTAGTTTCTCTCCAATTTTTGTCATTAGGGGGACTGGAGATGGATATAATCAAATGAGATAAAGCTAGCAGGTCTTCACAAAGAATATATGTTTGAAACATGTTTCTTTAGAGATTTGCCTTAAAGAAGAGTCTCGGAAGATTGTCTTCCATTCAGTATGGATGGATCTAGTTTTTACTTTTTTATGTTAAAAAATCAAGACGATTTCACCCTCTATAGCACAACTTATTTTTTTCTTAGCAAATAAATAAATAAACACTTAAAAATAATGGTTGTCTTGTCATCATCTACCCAGAATTGTCAACAATATTGGAGAAGTTAAACAAGAGCAAGCCAGAAAGTGGCATCAATAGAAATGTGCACAAACAGGATGGTAGAAATCTGGAAAGCATCAAATAAAGCTCCTGTGGAGGAAGAGCAAGTGGCAGTTACATTTAGCCCTAAATATTCAAAGGTCTCATGGGGTTTTGGCAGCCAGAGCAGAATTAAACTTGACGGGTAGATTTCAGCCAGAAGTCTATGGCACTCTCTAGAAGCAGACTTGTCTCCAGGACGGAAATCCTTATTTTTGTTGCTTAGTTCATATTATTTAGGGATCACAGAACAAAGACCAAAACTGAAATGAATAAAATAAACAAAAAGAAAGTAAAATATAATTGGCTCATCAGTAAAAGTAAAGATGGGACACAAGTTTGAAATTCCCTGACAGGATTCCTTAGTGGACACAGTAAACTCTACCTCTGGAAACAATATGTTGAGTATGCCTTTGTCAGTTTTTTTCCAGTCAGGTTATCTATTATTTTTATGACCTTTCAAATGGTGTTCTTATGATCCCCATTCAAGCATAACTTGAAATAATTAATTTTTAAACTGTGAATCTTTCTTGGCACGGGGGGTGGGGGACATTTTTTAGTTAGTCTTGTCAGAATAGTTCAGTAATATAAAGAACAGAAAAGTGATTTTTGATGAAAGTTTTTTACAACATTAAAACGAGATTTTTACTCTCTCATTATAACTATCCATGAGGAAAGAAAATCCCTTGCCGTCTTGTTTCCAAGTCCTTACATGGATTACAGTTAGGAAATTCTTCTAAGAGAAGACATTTTTATTACTGATAAGGTAAATGTTTTTGAAAATGTACACTAAATTCATAGTCATAGAGAATCGTTTACATACATTTGAAGTCCCTTATTCTCTTTTCCACTATTTTCCTTTGAGTAAATAAGATGGCTATAAATGCAATGTATGATTGAGTCCTCTGTTAGAAGCAGGTTTGTTTTAGAAATAATAATACTAAAAAAAAAAGTATTTTCTTTTACTCTGATGATACACTTGCTTTTGACTTACTTTTTAATTTAATAATTCATGAAAAATCACCCTGCTTGTATCCTTAAAATTATTTCCAGTAATACTCTTGTTTAATAAAAGAAAATTTCACTTTGATAATCACAATAAATCTTGCTGGTAAAGAACTGGGCTAGAGTCCAAAATAAACATCAAGCTATCCAAATACCTTCTACCTTGAAGAGGGCTACATGTATTTACATATCCATTCATCAATGTCATCATTTTAAGTTCAAACATTGGAATTATACTTGACTTTTATCTTGGTTATCAGGAATTGCTTTCATTAAAGAATGGATTAAGCATCATCTGTGGATGAAATAAGTCAGCCTACTGGAGCCAAATGTTATTGAAGATGTATTTTGCTTATAAAAATATACTTGAAAAATAAGAAAAAAAAGAATAGGCTTCTATATCCAGTTAATTAGAGAAACACTTTTTTCAAAAGCAGTTAATTATGATTAAGGGCACAGTATAAAAGGCTACTTTAAATTCCTTAACAAAGAAAATTCAAGTCTTTGATTCTAAGTAAATGGATGAAACTGGAAAAAAAAATGTGGAAACTTTATTTGAATGGATTGATTCAAGACATTTTTAAAAGGCTTGAAAGAGTTTAGGAAGTGTTGAGCTTTTTAAAAACTGTGTCATTTAAGAAATATTCATTGCTCACTTAGTGCAATGCAAAATATGAGATAAAAAGTTTTACAGAATGTAGTCTTAGCCTTTAAGAAGCTTACAATTAACAAAAGAGGTAAAATATTTATGACCCTTTTAATCGAAAAAATAGTGTGTTAAGTCTCGTGAATGGTGTAAAGTGAATGCAAATGATGTGTAATGAAGAAGGTGTTGAATTTTTGGTAGCAGTGATCAAAGAAGGCTTTACGGGTGGACTTTAACCTTGAATGTTGCCTCAAAATCCTAGCTAACTTTCACAGTGTATGAGAGACAGTCACTCAAACAGAAAGTGTGAACAAGTATTCCAGCAAGAAAAATATTAAAAATATTATCTCTGAGTGTTTAATTGGCCAGGCCCTAAACTTAAGTATTTTACATTAGCTCATGTAATCTCAAAAGCTCTATGAAGTTGGTAATACTATTATCACAATTTTACAAATAGGAAAACAGGGGGGAAAAACTGAGTAACTTGCTCACAAAACACAACTAAGGTAGTATCTGAGCTGAAATTTAATGAACTATTACCCGAGAATATAATTAATAGGGCTAATCTTACAGAGAGCATTTATTATACCCAGGGTCTATTCCAAGTGCCATGCATGTATCATCTCATTTAAGCCTCATAGCTGCCCAGCAGCCTGCTGCGGTAGATAATGACGGTGATGGTGATGATGATGATTTTTGGAAATGAAAAGAACATCAGGTAACTTGCAAATAAGGCGAGAAGCCTGAATTCAAACAATGATAGTCTCATACTTAGTCCTTGCTTTCAACCATTAAGAATATTGTGATGTTGGGGCGCCTGGGTGGCGCAGTCGGTTAAGCGTCCGACTTCAGCCAGGTCACGATCTCGCGGTCTGTGAGTTCGAGCCCCGCGTCAGGCTCTGGGCTGATGGCTCAGAGCCTGGAGCCTGTTTCCGATTCTGTGTCTCCCTCTCTCTCTGCCCCTCCCCCGTTCATGCTCTGTCTCTCTCTGTCCCAAAAAAATAAATAAACGTTAAAAAAAAAATTAAAAAAGAATATTGTGATGCTGTAGAAATAAGGATAAGATTAATTTCTGACAAACTGTAATTTTTTTAAAAAATTACAAAAGAAATACATAGAATCATCGTTATTAAAGAGAGACAATGACATCAAGCCTGCAGATCTTTAACATATTAGTATCATTCAAGGAAAAAATACTGTATGTCAGTTGGAAGATTTGGTTATCATTGGAAGTATGGAAACAGGACAGCCATTGGGCCAAAGTAGCTGATTCATCAGCACAAACAGGTACTTGCCTGCAAAATAACCTTCCTTCCTTTCAGATTTGCCAACAAAATGCCAAGTTTATTTGAGAGACCAATACTTCCAGTTGAAAAACTACATTTTTCAGGCTCTCTTACCTCTTGGGACTGTTATATAATATCGTCAAGAACTACAAGGCAGCTGAGATTTTACCCTACTTACAAGCTAACTTGTGTGAGCTTGCATCAATTTCATGGGTACTGGCAGTAAGCACTATACTCCTTTAGAGAGAGGACTTTAATACTCATAGTGAAGCAGGCAGCATGAGCCTCAAGTTAATGTTGGTTGCTCTTGACCTCATGTCCCACAGGGCTATGTGGAGCCACTCAGGCGGATGCTATACATGAAACAGGCTCATATGACAGCTAAGAAACCCCCGGCTTAGGGAATATGTGTCTTTTATGATGGGCTTCTAAGTAAACATGCTCGGTATATGTCCCAAAAAAAAGACACTATCTTCATTGTAAATAAACCTGTCTTATCTAGGGAGAGCTGCTCCTTCCATAATGCACAATAAAACATGAAACCTATGGAAATTGTCTCCCGAAAATATTCATTCTTTGCTTCTACAACATTGTTGACTTCTGGCAAATTTCCCCCTAGATATGCCAGTCCTAAGACCACTCTGGTTAATCTTACTGACAGGATATAGGATCAAATCTATTCAATTTGTCTCCTCTGCATTTATTTAAAGATACTATAAACAAGATTTTAATGAGCAAGATTGATCTCAACTATGCCCTTCAGGGTCCAGGACTTAAATAAATCCCATGAACTGTCAAGACTCTACTTTAAAAAGTCACAGAGCTTCCTCCTTAAATTTCTGCATAAACCATTTTACTTGGCCAGAGGCTTTGATCCAAGTAAATAGGATTTATTTGTGATTGCAAAGAGTCTGCCTGTCTC